GGTAACGATTCTTTTGTAATTATAGATAATTTGTTCCCTGTCAAGTCGATGCTTTTTAAATTTTCACACTTTTTGAAGACGTCAGCAGGAATTGTATTCAAATCTCCATTACAAATTTGAAGCTCGACTAAGTTTGCTGTACAGTTTACAAAATCATCTTCTATGATGGCTTCAATATTCCCTTTTGGAATTTGAAATATTGTCAAGTTTCGGTATAATGATATCACTTTACCAATCAGACTTTTGTTCGCTTCGTCGGTTGTTGTGACACGATAGACATGAGCATCTCCGTAAGTTTCATTGTGACTTCCTATTATTTTACCTTCTGATGCTGAGTCGCTCATTAAGCATACATATTTATCTTCAATCATCTTATAGTCACATGTTGGAGCACTAAGTGATAATCCACAACAACTTAATATGATACTAAAATATTGTAGTCCTTTCATGTTCCTTGTTTTGTTTCTGATGAATAATCTGATATTTTAAATATTCAACTAAACACGAAATTATTCAGTGGCATTCTTTTATAGAAATTCTGTCGTGCTTTCGATCAGATCAAAATAATTTTGTTTATCAGCCTGATAGCATTATCATTAGTTATATCTGGTAGGTATTAAATTCCTCGTTATAATAATCCAGATCGATAATTCCTACAGATAAGTTCTCATTAATTCGAATTGATATGAATATTATTGATAAAAAAAATATATTCTATTTGTTGATATTTTTGTAATGTTTTAGGTATTAAAAAAAATAAAAGGATGATATTCAATTGTGTTCTTAATTTGGATTCTGTTTTAGATGTTTTAATTTTTTCTGGAACAGATAGTTTTAGAACATGTTCATTGCCGTTCATTACAGTCATTTGGAATAAAGTATTCTTAGAGTGACACAAGCGAAAAACAGGTAAACTCAACGTTGACGCTCAAATGAAAATAGAACTTCTTTCCAAGAAGAATATCCAGAGTAGCTAGAGAAATTAATTTATACTCTTTAGATCTGATTTTATCCTAGATTCATTGATTGTAAACATCAAATCAAATATTTTCTTGATTTGAAATTAAATTCTTTTGGGAAGGTTTCAATAATATAGTCACAAATTATGATAGTGCTATAATAAAGCATTGAGCAATAATTTATTTATTACGGTGTATTTATGTTTCTTTTTACTTAAATCTTTATTTATTCATAATAAACTTATCAACTGATTATTATTTTATTATAATTTAATATGAATTTTTATGGCAAAGTAAATTACATAAACTTAAAAACTGCGGCAACAAACACTAATAAAATATTAGAAATAACAATAGAACGTGCCGAGTTGTAGTTGTCAAAGCATTTCTGGAATTTTGCCATTGTTGCAGTGTCATTTTTATAAAATGGCACGAAATCTTCATTGATGCACTCGTTAGAAGCGAATCTTACTTCTTTTAAGCCAGTAAACTGATCGAAGAATGTTTTTTCAATTTTGTTGATTTTATTGCTTGTAAAGTCCAAAACTTCCAAATTCTTCATGGTTGCAAATGTTGAAGCTTTTAAAATCGCAACTTTATTTTCTCGTGCAATTAATCTTTTCATTTCCGTTGTCTTCTCAAAAAGTTTATCAGGAATTTCAACAATTTCGTTGTTGCTGAATGTCAAATTTTGTAACTTTACCAGTGTGCTGAATATTTCATTTGTAAATTGGTTCAACTTCATGCTGCTGATGCTTAAATCCAGTAGATTGACATTTTTGATAAATAGTGTGTCAATAGCACCAACTGAGTTACTGCTGATGTCAAGTTTTTGAAGATTTGCCAGTGCTTCTAAGACAGTTTTTAAAGGTGTAAAGCTTGCTGATTCTAATTGAATGTCGTGGATGTCAAGTGACGTGAGAGTTAATATATTTTTTAAAACCGCATCATTCAAGGTTTTAAGAGGATTAGCGCTAATATCCAATGATGTTAATTTTGTGTTTAATTTGAAGGCATCTTGATGAATTGTTGTTATGAGATTTGAGCCAAGTTTTAATTCTATTAGATCAGGCATTGAACTAACTAATGTTTCAGGTATAGATGTTAATTTATTTCCATTTAAGTAGAAACTTACAAGCTTGGTGCTTTTCTGTAAGTTTACTAAAGGAAATTCAACCAATAAGTTATTGGAAAAGTCGAGATGAGTTAAAATCTCAGATGGAAGATTAACTAATGAAAGGCTTGATATTTTGTTTCCCGATAGACTTAAATGAGTTAAACCTGGTAATGAAGTTGTTGATCCAAAAAATGATGATGTTTGGTAATTTGGATTGATTAAGTTGTTTGTTAAGATTAACTTTTTCAAAGTTGTTGGCAGCGATCCAGAATGAAGTTTAGCCAATTGATTTCCTGTTAAGTCGATTTCTTCTATCAAAGAACAGGCTCCAAAAATATTTGTATCCTGTGCTCCAATTGCATTAATTTGTCCGTTCCAAATTTGTAGTTGTTTTAGTGCTCCACATTTTCCAGATGGAAAGTCTGTTACGTCGATACTGGCGACACCTCCTTTTTGTATTTGAAGTGCCTCTAAGCTTGCAAATTTGTTTAAAACCAGTTTAATCAAATCTTTATTAGCTGCATCTAGTGTCGTTACTCGTTTTACGTCTGTTTCTGATTTTCCAGCTTCAATAGTTCCTCCGATTGTGTCAGTTGCCGCAGCAATGGAACTGTTCATGAAGCAAACATATGTTGTGCCTATTGTACTGTAATTACAAGTTGGCGCACTATTAGCTAGTCCACAAAGAGCACATAGCACTAATAATATGGGAACCTTCATTTTTTTCCTCACTAGATCTTATTTCCACTTGCTTCTTTTTTCACTCTATGACAGAAAAATCAAAACTGAACAGTCGTAAGCAAATTACTATTCTTTTATAGAAAACATTTATGCTAACAACTTTAAACTCTTATCAATAGTGATATAGAGAGCAAATAGAATTTTTATTGTCATTAAAAGGCTTGTCTTGTTTTTATTTCTATGAATAATATGAAATCATGATTCATATTGCGTACTTTAAGTATGTTTAATCAATCAAGACTGATATTTATCATGAAACTTTAAAGTTGATGGATCAGAGTCTGTAAAGACCCCCTCAAAATTGGTTGACAATATAGAATTGACTGATGATATTCTAGCCAACAGGATAAGCAACAAATTGTTGTTGATCATTCGGAAACATTTCAAAGATTTATCTTCAAAAGATTCAATTGCAACAAACAGAATCGTGGCAAATTGAAGAATGTTTGATAATAAATATGAAGAAGGGTGAAATCCCCCAGCTCCACTCCTTTTGAATGGTGTAATTTACAATGGAATCAAAGAACGGTTATCATTTCATATCTTGTAATTTTATCGTTTATTGCTTCAAGTTCTTCACAAAGATATTAGCAATAATGAAGCATGTAAATAAAATTTAAATTTTCAATTTTTTCAAGGCTGTTTACAGCAACAGCAAAAATGCTTGTTCAATGTCATCAATATCCTAAAGGTCGTGGAACTGATCAAAAACAGTGTTGCATTCTGGCGATTTGTCTGGATCAGATAAATTCTGAGACAGAAATTTCTTCATAAAGATCGATTCTATATGAAGATAGAAAATCTAATCTACACAAAGATTATTTCTGCATAAAGATTCTGTCTACATAAAGATTCGATGTAGATGTCTACAATTCTACATTCTTCTCTGATGTAGACCTGGAAAAAATGTAGAATTGTAGACATCTACATCGAATCTTTATGTAGACAGAATCTTTATGTAGAAATAATCTTTGTGTAGATTAGATTTTCTATCTTCATGTAGAATCGATCTTTATGAAGAAAGTTTTTTAGCTAGACGGAAACTATTGAAGAATCTACATTCTTCATCTAGTGTAGACATCTACATTTGCAACACTGATCAAAAATGATCGAAAGTCAGGTAATCAGTTCCATATCCTTGTCAATATCAATATCAAGGCTTTCCCTATGCCTTTTCTAGCTTCACCATTTGAATAAATATATGACATCTTTAAGCACATGAAAAGTGGTCCAAATGGCATTTCCTAGTCAAAAACAACCGATTCGTCATTGCAAAGCTAGAAAAATGCCCCACGAAGCGCTTGAAAATGGAAAAATTATTCATTAATCAGCAATAAAAGGCATGATTACATGTGATGATGCAAATAAAAGCACATAGAGATACCAAAATTAATAGTTGATAAGATAAAAGTTTGTCATTTTATGAAAGAATTAATAAATTTTGCGTTTTTGAGGAAGTAAAGCATGGAATAATAATAATGACGACTTAAAGCTCGTGCTGATATTTATATTAATCAAAAGCTTTTTGGACTGAGATTAATAATTTTAAAGCTCGTTGCCACAATTAAAGATTAAATGACACAGAACTTTTAAAAAATGAAAATAAGGAGATTTACTTTCTCCTAATCTATGATTTATGATTGATCAATGAGGGGTAATTCTCATAAATGATATCCATAAAAAAATATGAGATTTTAGACACAATCCTTACCCGAGCTGTCACAAAATTCTTTCAAATGTGAAACTTTCATGTCAATAAAAATCAAACCTCTCCAAAACTTGAGCATTATTTGTGAACGACTTATTAAGCAACGCATTCGTCTTACGATCATGCAACTAAGTGGACTATCATCACTATATAGAATTAAACTTGTTTCTTAAATCTCTGCTTATTATAAACCAAATCATCTCATTTAATCGTTTCTATTTCTTAAATATTACTGAACTTTAGACTTCTATGCCATTCTCCATCACACTTGAATGACGAGATTTGCATGACTTTAAACAACAACAATGTGTTAAATGATTTGTACGTGTTTCTGACGACAAAGAGAATTTTAGCTTCTTCTTCTTGTGAGTAACATCTGTTATAGCTGTAAAACTAGTTAACTATAGAATCACGTATTTATTCCAGTTCTACAAAAATAATCGTTTCCACATAAATTTAGCAAGACGACCAAAGATTCGTAATATTATGATTAAACTTTTTTATTTATGTTTTATGTCATTATTAATTAAGTTCAATAAATACATTATAAGTTCTTTAGCATAAGTTTCATCATCATCAGTTTTTCTTGTCTCAATCGTAAGCCTAAAAGCTTAAGTATATTCACCAATAAATCAATCGAGGAGGAATTTTTAAGTTTCTTCAACTTTATAGTAAATAAAAAAGGAATTTATTGTACATTAAGCAACACGTAGTGAAAGAATAGAAAATAGATACATAACAAAAATAAGCTCCATGAGACATAACGCACAATCTCAATGGATACACAAAAAAATAAGATTCTTTTAAATACGCGGAAATGAAAAATAGAAGATTTTGTCAGAAAGTTAAACGGAAAATAAAGACAGATTTAGTAAATGGAAGTTCAACCGCACTTTTCAGCTACTTTTGTCGTTCTCTGCATGGCCTCATAAATTGCAATTTCCTTCTCTTCTTTCTTATTATTCCGCTTTTCAAAATCAAGCCTGTTAATGATGATTCTCTGGACAATCTTTTCAGTTGTCATGTCATTGCCGGAATCGATAATCTTAAATAAACCCATTTTCTTTGGAATCTCGTAAGGATCGCCATGCTGTTCTGAGATTATTGTTCGTCCATGACAAACGACATCGACACTGAAATGTTCTATTAAATCTTTGGTGACTTCATAGGGAGCTCCGATAACGACTTCGTTTACATACTGTAAAGATATTTAAAATGCAAATAAGTTTGGAACTTAAGATTGCTCAAAAGCCTAGGATTTAATTTAAACATTTCTTTACCTTGCATGCAAGAACGCTCAAAACACGTTCATGAAGATTCATAATTGGATAATTGCCTCCTTTATATTGATTAACAACGTGATCTGTGTGCAATCCAACGATCAAGAAGTCTCCTTGTTCTTTAGCTTTCTCCAAAAAGTCAAGATGTCCAATATGGAATAAATCAAATGCACCAGCGACGTAAACAATTTTATCACCCGGTTCGGCTGGTTTTCCATTGCTGAATTGATTAATCTTTTGTGTGGTAGGTAAGAATTGAGAACAGCCTGTCCATGGCGATCGTGCAGCATGATCTTGTCCAAGTTTTGAGGGTTCTTGAGGGATAGAATATTTCTTGAGTAATTTATTGAAATGTTCTTGAATATGTTTAATGTTATGGCAATGATAAGGAAAAAGGAATTAATAAGGATACTTTAAATAGTCATTCATTAATGACGTCTATAAATGAAATTTATCCAGATTTAAGGATGTCATAATTGAATGACTCACATAAATGAAAAATGTTAAAACGCGAAGAAGTTAGTCAAACAATAGGAAGAAATCATGAGAAAATGTTAAAGAAAAACATTACTCGCTTGGATAGCTCCAAATGGCATTGCAGATTTATTGTCAAGCCAATTGTCTACCAAAATCATGACATCAAAAGCAAAGCAAATGCAGGAATTATTAAGATAAAAGAAAAATACAGAAATGAGAATAGAAATAAAACACACAGAATAAGACCTTAAAATTCATTACTCACCATCTTTTCCCACACTGTATTCAGATTCTCCTTGTTGGAAGTGATTTCGAGTCATCAGAAGCATTCGTCCAACTAAGTCAGTTGTTGAAACGCCCTGAGTACGTTGGATTTCCCTAAAAAACATGTAAATCGTGTCATTAGTAGCTGTAAATTATTAATCAGAACATGCTTACCTATATCTCTTTGCTGTCTTCACCAAATGATACGTGTCATATCCGTCAACTGTTGTGGTGATGTCGTCTGTAAATTATTAAAGATTATGAATTATTAATAAACATCCGTATTTACTTATTCATGCTTTAATTGATAATTGACGAGTTCAACGCCTTATCAATTGTTACGTGGAACAAGTGTCTAGAAAAAAACTGCGCTGAAAAGTGTTTTGTTGATGAGTTGGAGAGAGGCTTGAAAGTGCTTTCAATTGTTTGGGTGAAAAGTTTTAAGAACTTAGTAAAAACTTTAGATCTTAGGATAAAATTCAATCTAATGTTTTAATCTCGAGATTTAAATTAATCCAAAGTTTAAATCATCTGAAAACCCCCAAGCACATCTTACGATCGTTACAAAAATCACCAGCACATAATGCGTACAATCTTAAAACTTTGTTTACGATACAAATGCTTTATCAACACTTAAAACTGTGCCTTTATATTTTTAGAAAAGGCGCAAAAAAGCACAGACATCAATCAATGCTACATGACGATCGAAACTAAACAGTTTGTCTTGCAATATTGCGTCAGATCCACAAGATATATGAAATTTATCGATTATCACTTACCGCCATGCACACAATAATCACATTGATATTCATCGAGAGTTTCTAAAGTCGTCACATATGGCGCATCTTCAACAACTTCATCGACCCATTTGATACCCTTGACCATTTTGTATCTGAAAGTGTTGAATGATGTAAAGATAGATTAGTTTAATTACTCATAAATAATAATGAGAACAACCGGAATCACCTCTTCAAAATGTAAAGAAAATTAAAATACTACGTAAGCTTTATGATAAGGAAAATAAAATTGTTTCGTGCCTCGAATCTTATCAATCGTGAGGAGTAAATTAATGAATGAGCAAATCTGAACTTAAGACCCGATTCCCTCGATCGTATGACATTCTGTTATCGCATTAGCATTCCAATAAGAAAATCATTTAATGCTATGCGATACACTCTTGGACCGGATAGCGTGATTCCCCATGATAATTACCGTTCTTCTTGTGTAAAGACAGGAGGTCCCTTGTGCTTTGTGATCTCTGCATCATTGTGAATTCCAACAATTAATTTATCTCCCAAAGCTTTGGCTTGCCGTAATGCATTTGCATGTCCAAAATGAACCATGTCATAGCTATAAATAGACATAAGAAATTACGAGACTTTAGATTTCGATTGACATTGAGAATCTTATTGGATCGTAGCAGCATCAAACCGGCAAAGTAGTTTGATACGTCTGTTAATTTATGGAAATGACGTTTTGTTGAAGGTATTCACACTTCCTTATTAACAGCTACGAGCAAATAAATGTTTTGGCATTGGTTAATTTATGCAATTAAATACTTGCACTTTTCATACGAATATAATACATTTTTATTGCTTACAAACAGTCTGATTCAGTTTGTTTATGTGGTTTCTTCTTTTCATTGAAGAAGCAGATGATACATAAATATTTATTCAGTGCTACTCGTGGATAAGTAGATAAACACTTATGACTATTTATAAGACAACCTGGAATTTTTAAATCATCACTAAATTATTTTCGGTAGATCCAAGGCTATAACAAATCTTATCTCGTCTATAATTAGATCCACAGCAAGTAATCAATAAAAACTTAGATCCGTGATTGAAATATTCCACGCGCCTTTCCGAGAAACTATCAAAAAACAATGTAGATTCGTCAGATCAGAACATCACGCCATTTCACACGCATGTCAAATATAAGCCGGTCAAAAGCTATAAACATCCAGCGATATTTAAAAAATTTGCCACTTTGGCACTTGTTCTTATTGTATTGGCTAATTTATGACATTTCCTACAAACTATTTGACTTTTGTAAGTGAATTAAAGAGGAAAAACTTTCCACATTCAATGACTTTTGCGCGCGAGACACAGGGAAAAAATCGATTTAGGAACTTCCCACTTATTTTTTATAATGTCAAAGTTGACGAATGTGCATTAATATTTAGGGCTTTAATTTATATTGATGACATCAACTTACCATCCATCGATCCATACACGCACTTCCTTCTTGTCATTAACTGTCTCGGACATGATTATTTAATTAAAATATTTTGTAAGTTTGTCACAGTAAAAAAATAAAATTTGCTCTCTCTGCTCAAAATTAAGTGTTACTTCGACAAAAGTTCTGATTAGAATGAAGTGTTTTCTGAATTGTCGTTAAAAACTACTGCAATTAATTCAATAGAATATTTGATTTTTATGGAAGAAAAATATCTTTAACAACAACTTTTGTCGAAGTACAGAACAATAATGACTTCATGGGAAAAATATATAAGGTAGTTTCTAGAGAGTGAGTGAGATTTTTTCTCTCTTTCGAACATGCAATGACTCAATACTCTCCCGAGGAGCACATGTCTCCTTTTGAGGTATTTATTTCACTGGATCTTTTATTTACTGGATGTTTTGAAATCTTGAATTTCTAATTAAAGACAGTAATCTGGGATTGTGAATGCAAAGAGGTAGCATTTTTCAGTGCAAGAGCCCTCGATTTAAATCGTTGAATAGATTCAAATCGAGACTGTCAGTATTAAATTAAAATAATTGATAGCAAACGGTACGAACAGCAGTCATTGAAGTGAATTGTTACAGGCAACAGCGTAAATACAACACAGAGGCTTAAATGGAAACGAATCATAGCTGTGAAGTTGATACAATTGTGTGTAACTATAATTAGCACTTGAAAATTGAATTAATTAAGTAATTGGAACTTGAAGTTATATTATAAGCTACTATTAATTTGGAACTTGAATACTAATTGGATGTAGACTATTGGACATTAAAGTTCTAACGTATTTCTTGTATTCAAGTTTTAACGCACATTTGAAATTGAAATTTTCCTTCACGTTTTGAGCTTAAAGTTTTACATATTTTTCAAATTTTTCAGCAACGTTAAATTTATGTACAATCTTGTGCTTAATTTATTTAAAGCATCATAAATGAGGATCATTCATCCTCATTCAAAAAAGCCTTGTTACTGATGTAATACAAGAAAATTTCCTCAATCAAAATTGATCTGAATCTTGATGACTCATTATCATGCAACTAAGTTGTGACCAATTACATTCTATGACTTGGCAAGGCTCTCTCAATTCGAAATCGTGAGAGTAAAAAAGATCAGATGATTTTCAAAATCTTATAAGATTTTAACGAATTTTCACAACATTATTGAAATGATTCGTCATTCTGAAGCAAGAACTGCTTGACATTTTCAAATCTCTTACTGATTTTAAAAGTTTGCACATTATTTGCTATTTATTTTAGATATAAATAATGAAAAATAATTTTCGCGAGACTTGAAGCATGCGTACTGTTTTCGAAAATACTCATCTGCCCGTCCACAGAGCATTACACTTTACCAACTGTTTCCATTTATATACAATACACAATCTGTGTTAATTCATGGTCAAATATGACAAATTTGCAATATCACTCGAGATTATCACTCTTAATTGTAAGTCAGTCACAGTGATAAGTTTTTTTTTTGAGCATGTAAAGGATCTGTGACTGTATTTTAAAATGATATAACATTGCTGCAATCTAATCTTATTGGACTTGTATACATCTAGACACATGTATGCATGTATAGAGTGGTATAGAGCAGCACATTATTACTACTACTTACTTATAGACTCTCCACTTAGGAATTTTAAAAAAAATATTAGTTTGCCCATTTGTTTTTGCCATTTAGTTTCTATCGTTTCAATCGTAATGTTCGGATTTTATTGATTGACAATCGCCTTATGATACTCGAGTGCATAACAATTAAAAAGACAATTATTAAATTATCATAAATAGTGCCTGATAAAAATAATATTTTATAGCCATTATGCCTAGTAAAAATGATAATTTAAGAAAGCGTAAGGTGAGCATTGGAATCGCTTATGGATCAAAGTTCAAAAAATAAATGAAAATTATGAAATATCCTAAAGAAACCTTGAAAATGCTCACGGAACCGGCATTTGTGAATTCTGTACTTTAATTACAACTAATTGACATAGTACTTGGTGTATTTATGCTTTTATGGATGAAAGCATGAATAACTCGACTGTCATAAATTTTAATCATTATCTTTTATCTTTAAATGACAAAATAAGACGATTAATTATTCAAACGAATAGAAAATTGGTTAAGTCATTCGGTGGTCGTGGCTGTAAAGCATTTTGTGGACATAACAGTGTAATTTATTGAAAAGATTTGTAAAATTAATGAGCTTTCAAAAATTTAAAACAAAAACGGTTTTGTAAAATTCAAACTTACAAAGTTGATCCACAGTCAATTATGTTGCGTTTTTTCATAGACATACAGACAATTTTCATCAGTTTTTAAATTAATTAAGCCATTTTCTGAAGCTCATTAAGCAATTTTAAATTACAAAAAGCAATATCTGTTTCACAGACAAAGTAAACCAAGAACAACAGCTGTATTTCCATGAATATTTGCTAATAATTTCTCACAGACACAAAAAGCTTTTTTTGAGCATCAAAAATACAAGTTTTCTTCGACTTTCTTTATAAATTTTTCAAAAAAAAACTTTATTTGCTTAATTATTAAGTGTTTTTTCATTTTATCGATCGAATTATTCATTTAGTGAAAAGTTTAACTATACAATATTTCAAGATAAGTTCATGCACAACAGAAAAAATGGAAATTTCGATGTTAAAATGAAGAATTCAGATTACGAATACGAACTTGTAATATTGTACAATTCTAAATGTCAATTTTAAAGGTTTTTAATGCATATTTCTTTTTAGCTGATTACAGACAGTCACGAGAAAAAACCGATCAAGAAGATTCACAACAAACATGGTCCAAAAACAAGTCAAAATGCTGGTTTATTCTTTAGTTTTATGTGCCTAGTTGTCACTGTAACAATTCTGATCATTTTCTTTGGGTACGTTGACTTTCTGTTTACTGTATGTCCAAATTTGGATTATTCTTATCACTTTTGGGTTGATGACGTGCATTTTTGAGGATTATGTAATTGTAGATGCAATTAATGAAATATTGTTCTTATTAGCATCCAGTACAATACATCCACAACCAATCACACATTCATAATAATTAAATTATCTACTCATAGTCATTAACTAGTTATTCTGCGTCAACAACAATCCAAAAAGAAGATGGCCTTGCTTAAAAAATTAATTCTATTCTTAAATATTTGCAGCATATACACAGACTCATTACATCCCATTATCGATACAATTGCAACTCAACTCGGATATTCCGAGAAGCAATATGGAGCAATTTTTGACGCTGGATCGACTGGAAGTCGTGTATTGGCATTTGAGTTTCATAAAGCCTATCTTGACGGACGACTAGTGCTAGATAATGAATTATTTAAGGAATTGAAGCCTGGTCTTTCTTCATTGACGCCTGAGAAAGGAGCTATTCAGATTAAGCAGCTATTGGATGAAGCGAAACAGTTCATTCCTGAGCAATATTGGCCCAATACACCGATAGCTTTAAAAGCAACAGCTGGATTAAGAATGTTAGGTGCCAGTAAATCAGAAGCAATTCTTCAAGCTGTAAGAGATATTTTCACCGAGTCTGGATTCATGACAAATGATCATTCCGTTGAAATAATGGATGGAACTGACGAGGTAATTATCTTTATAGCTATTATAGATGAGAAAATGTGAATCCATGACCTATCTCAATGTCCCATGAGTTGGAAAATTATTTATCCAATAGAAAAGATTCCGTATCATTCAAAATAGTCAGGCACACTGTCAAGTCTATTTTTAACACTTTCTTTGCAATTTTCAGGGAATCTTCTCGTGGTTTACTGTCAATTACTTATCAAATCGCTTGACATCGAGGAACACGGCAGCTGCACTTGACTTAGGCGGCGGTTCCACTCAAGTTACTTACGAGTTGAATGAAATTCAACCGAGTTATAAGGATTTTATTCACCCTGTGCCTGTTTTTAATTCAGAAGTAAATGTCTTTACAAATAGTTATCTTGGACTTGGATTAATGGCTCTAAGACACGCTGTGATTTCCTATCAGAAGGCTGATAATCAGACATCGTTTGAAAATGAGTGCGTTAATCCTATCGTTAAGAATAAATCATGGATTTATCAAAATAATGAATATTCGGTATCTGGAAAGGAGAATAAGAAGGCATCGCCTGATAATCCCGAAGTTGATTTTGAAACGTGTGTAGAATCTGTAAAGCGTCAAGTGATGCCACTTTTAAAGCCAAAGCCAATACGTATACAAGAGCATATTATTAATGCATTTTCATACTATTATGATCGTGCAATAGAAACAGGAATGGTAGATCCATTTTTAGGTGGCGAAGTGACAGTTGCTGACTTTACAAAGAAGGCACGCGAATCGTGTGCAACTGCAAATACAGATCAACCATTTATGTGTTTGGATCTTGTCTACATATCAGTTCTTCTTCAGGACGGTTTTGGCTTGAAGCCACAAACAAATATCAGAGTAAGTTGCACTTAGTTCAGTTTCCTAATTAATATTGTGCTGACGGTTTGTATCTTGTTCCTTAGCTTTTCAAAAAGATTCGCGGACATGAAGTAAGTTGGGCTCTAGGGTGCTTCTTCCAGAATTACATTACTCTACAGCAGAAAATGAAGCGTGCATCAAACTAGGACGATTAGCAAGAATAGCGCCATAATCATAAATCACAAAATGACATAGAAATTGAATATTGACACAACTTTTCACAACTCACCCAATACACACTGTGCATGCGACAATTTTCACATTTAATAATTAATAGTTAAACGTACAGGACAAATTTCGTTAGATTAAAATGAATGAAAATGAAATAAATCAAAACTATGGGAATTGAGTTTGTAATTTTTTTACTTCTGTTCTTTTCTAACCTTCTGTTAATGTGTAAAACCTGTTGATATTTTATTGATGCGGGTTTTTGATATTGTATTTTTATTATGTGAAATGTATACCTTTAATAATGAACTAAGTTCTCGTGATGTCTGTGGGAATCTTACAATTGTGAATGAATAATTGACGAAAATTTAACGGATATTTGATATTTTAAAAATATTTCTCGCGACTTTTTATACCATATCAATTTGAATTTACGGGAACCGTTAAATTTTTTCGACCTTTTTTGATGTTACTAATTCGTGAAAAGAAATTCATTAAAATTTCAGTATTGATAATTTTATTTTTAAACGATTAGATGATTATCAAATAAATACACTTTTAATAATGACCTCATTAATTACTGCACATTAAATCATGTTTTTAATAAATTTATACTGTTAGAAACAGGAAAATTAATAAATAAGTCCATGATTCTTGACATAGCGCAATAAAATTTTTATTCTGTGACATTTCTTTTATTAATTAATCAATTTAAATCAAAACAATTGAGATAAATGTGCTTGTAATAAACAGCATCTGTTCTATTTCATCATTTTCAGCCATGTATCGAAAGATAACAGCATCATGTGTGCAATACATTCCTATAATCTGTCGGATGTCACTACTTTAGTTGTATTTTAAATTTACTAAAGTAACGACTTCTTGAGATTTAAACTTTTAACGATTTTGTAGAATTTGAAAAATTGGTCTAAAATGGCGTGCAACTTCATGTTGTAAAAGTTTTTCCGAAAAATTAGAGAATTTATTAAAATTCATAGAAAAAAACTGTGTATAGACTCATTTAATATACACAAACAAGCCAGAACAGCTGATTAGATCATTATTTATTAAATAACACATATAACATTCGAAGTAACAACACAAAAAAAATCGAGACAAGAAAAAAGTGACTACTAAAGGAAATCGTGAAAATTCAAGCATAAAACATACATGCTGAAGCAAAAGATCAGTCATAGCATTAAGAGAGCAAAGAATCAACCAATCACGTTTATACAAATACATCCTGACTCTCAGTTCACATTTATATTCTCTGAGTAATCGAATACACACGGAAAATAAGCTCATTCAGTGTTTTGTGACATTCTGTGCATGCAAGAGCTGTTTTTTGACTCGATAATAATAATAATAACACAAAACTGTTGATTTGAAGACGATAAAGTTGTGATTTTGCAATTTGAGGTGGATAAAAAAGGCCAAAAACATTAGTAAATAGAGTTGTGAAATTAATTTAATTTTGTTATCTTTCGTGTGTAAATGTATTTGAGAAAATGATTAGTTCAAAAGAATTAGTTGACAATTTGATTGTGGGCAGCATAACAAGCTTTTCGCCCCAAACAATGCGATTACTGGATTTGATTGAGAATAACCAACAAGTGCCTTTAAATGATGTAGCACTCAATGATCCAGACCAGCTATCAGTAGCAATTTTTAATTATCCAATTATTAAAGACGATTTATATAAAGAGTTTAGTGAAGCAGCAAAGAGAATATCGTCGGCAAAATATGCATATTACAAGAAGTCTGCAGCATTTAAAGACAATTTTACCAAATTGTGTACCGAAACATTTAATAAACATCATCAATCTGATGTTCAATTAAGTCATTTGGAGCAAATTCAAAAGGTCAGAAGTGCCATAAGAGTTATCAAATTTATTGGTGAATTATATGTGGCTGATTTCTTCATTAACTGTAATATTGCACATTTTCTGGAAGTGTTATCAAAAAATATTGTGGAATCAAAAGTGTCGCAAGACTGTCTTGAATGTCTAATATCAATCATATCAAATCGTGTGAAAAATGAAGTTAAACTATATAAACACAATATTCATACAGCAGCGATAATAAATTTTATTACGGACTACGAGAATGAAACATCGAAAATTAAAAGAAAGTAAGTAAGCAGTGCTATTGAGCGTGTACTAGAGGGGGTTGGATTACATGATTCTGATTTTGTTGCTTCTTAGAACTTTGTAATGTTTATTTAATCGTTGCATTGTCCTTTGATGATATTAAGAGATGAATGGAACTTTTCCTACTTACTTTACGTCTTCATAATTTAATTACTTGATTTAGAGAGTAAAATCTGTAGTTGCTAGGTTAATTCTATGTCCTATGGCATTATGCTTGCATTCTTGGAAGTGATTTTCTTGTGCGTCTTGAAGCTGTTTTTGGCTTCATCTGTAACATTTTGCTGTAACTTTAATATCTTTTGTATAAAACTTGTGATTCTAAACCACATCATTGCTGACGAAAGCTTTCATAGAGGTTCAATCTAGGGTTCTTTCGACTTGCATCCTTAAATTATCATTTTTGGATCCCTTTCATCCTTTAACTTACGTAGCAGACTAGTGATTATAGCTTCCTACTACCACAATCAATTAGAACATTTAAGATAGCAAAAACATTGTCTCTTAAGGCACAGAGCATGTCAACAACCCTCTCACGACCCCTCACAAACATTTATTCAAACTATTCTCCTAATAACCATTCTTTCGTAGCTATAAAGACCTTGAAATAATTGAAGCTGTTAATAAAACAATCAAAAATAAATCATTGAAAGGCTCAAATAATCGTTATACTAAGGACACATCCCGTAGTGAAACTGTTCGTCAAACAAAGAAAATTTTCGAAACAATTTTATCCGGCAACATGAATTTATTGTATTGTGTCGAGACTGCATATGATGTAAGCATTATATTTCCTGATTCTTTTGAAAATGAGATGCTTCAATTGTGTTTTGACTATATTAAAAAGTCATTTGAAGCACCTGATGAGAATTTAAAAGCCAAATGTATGGAAATTGTGAGATTTATTGGAATGTTATACAGCAATGAAGCCTTAACAAACGACGGCGTTAAAGGAACAATAAATTTTTTATACAAATTCGATTCAATCTTTTCGGAACCATTAACAAATGTCATTTTTGCTGAGATTTATGATAAAGTTATGGACATCGATGACGTGTTATTGAAGCAAGTAATTCCGGAAAATTTTGTAAAAATATCAAATGGATCAGCGAGTGAGAAAGAACTTGAAATTACTGATGTTGAGAATGAGAAAGAAGAAGTTGAAGTTCCAATGATAAGAAAGCAATCAACACCAGACATAATAATGCCGAAAAATCATTCGATTTGTGAAAGCACTAATGTCATTGATCCGATTGAGAAATTCAAAGAATTATTAATAAAATTATCACCAACGAATGTAGCGTACATCTTGAGAGAAACATCAGGAGTGAAATTTTCAATTGGCGAGGATATGATTAAGGAATTGGCAACACATCTTATTGAGCATGCTGTAAACAAGCCGATATTAATTAAATCGATCACTCAGGTTGCTGTAAAGTTGCCTGACACAATTGTTCCACATTTTAATACATGCTTAATGAAGAAACATTTACGTGCCTTGATTTCATCAAAAATCACTGGATGTTCCGAACGAGAATCTGTTGTTTATGGACAACTCATTAAAGAGCTTCATTCCGCCAATTATTACGACAGATTTGATATAATTATTTTATTGGACAATTTTACTGAAAATTTTAATCACGATCGAACAGCATTGACCTCACTTTTACAATTCATTGATGAGTTCAAGGACATCTTGATCGGGAAGAAATTGTCAAAAAATATGAAACAAAAGCTGATTAACATTTCTTCCAAGCTATCGATCAAAATGAGTGAAGAGAGTGACGAGGAACTAATGGAAACAATTTCAAATGCTATAAAAACACTCAATTCCGAGACACGTCCGCAAAGTGAAAGTTCATCAAGTTCTAAAAAGGAAATTAACAACAATTACAAAATTAATGGTGATATGCCTTATTATAGATCAGAAAGTAACAGCCAAAGTGAGAATTCATCGCCATCACCAATTCAATTGCCTCCAATGCATTTACCCCCACCAAAAATGTTCATTCCACCCCCAAACTTTGTTTTTGTGGCTTCTAAAAGTGCATTTGAAATCATGGAGAACAGAAATAGCTGGCCAAGTTTAGAAACGAAAGAAAAGCATCAGATGAGCTTCAAAACTGTTGTTGATACGAAAAGTGATGACGATTTCAGCATTCGGCAATCCGGTTCTACAAGGTAAGATATACAAACAAACCCAAATAAAATTAGCAACTATAAACACAAAACTTATACGGCGGCTTCATCACATGTGCGATTCTAGCGCATTTAACTGGTTTTTTGGCTCTCTTTTTCGGCTATTTAGTAAACATGTCAATGTCTGGCCTTATCGCATGGGAATTCCTTATCAATGTTTACTTAGGGCTGAGATTCTTTAATTATGTCGTATAATATTTATGGATGTACAAATTGTGATGACTTCATTTATTCCACGAAAAGGCACAGATCTTCTCGGTATTTTTCGGAATATTTCTGGCAAAAAGAGAAACGATATTGATAAGAGAATGTCAACAACCTCGACCTTGATGATTTTTAGAATTATTGAACAGTTTTTTTGGAATAGAAAGTCATACAACTTTAGAGATTGAGTATCAAGAAAAGTCTGACTTGTTAATTATTCTAAGAAATTGCTAAGTTTTGTAAGTCATTTGATTGTTGTCTTTTAAATTATTAATGTTACAACTTTCGTTTGTTATTTGTAAATTAGTATCAAGAAGCTTCTTTTGAGTTACATTTGGAATGACTTTAAAAAGCTCTATTTCCAAAACCCCAAAATTTTTTGAGAAACCGAGAAACTTTATAAAACTGTAAACTCAACTGTAAGTACTACTCAGCAGCTAAGCTATAAACACCATCTGTAAATTACAGCTGTAATTTGATTTTTACGTAACGAAGTAAGTTCATCTGTAATCTACAGTTGTAGCTAAATAGCTAATGCTAAATAGTATAAGGTGTTTTTGACAATTTATATAAAAACTATTACAGAATTCTACAGAACTATTTGTCCAGAATTCTGTTAAAAAATTCTGTTTTTACACGCTTTTTATTGTCTGAAATTATGTTGCGAATGTGTCGCGTGACATTTTCCAAAAATTTCTCCAGAATTCTGATAAATAATCCTCCAGAATTCTGGAGAATTCTGAAGAATTATTCTGCACAACTGTGTTCCAGAATTCTGCAGAATTCTCGAGTCTGCCAGATGCACTTCACCCCATTTTAAGGCATAGAACCAAATTAAAAAATGTAACGGTAAAAAAATATTTGAAACTTAATGGTTGTAAAATATTTAAATAATTTTCAAAATTTAGAATTTTGAAAAACCGTTGATACCTATTTAAAACATTATTCTCACTTTATTATTATTTAGCTCGGTGTCGATCAGCTTGCAAGAGATCGAAATGGAATCAGATGAGTTTTATGACACAGCATCAAATGCAGAAAGCTTCGCATATGAACTAAAGAATGACATTGAAAGTGAAAGTGCATATTCAAGCTTAATTGATGCACGGTTCAGTAAGGAAGACATTTTCAAAAATATTATTCGGTGCCAATTTTCATACAATAATGAAGCAATTGAGAGTTTCGCGACATTATTCATTAAACGTGGAATGAAGAGTAAAAATAGCGGATATATGGACATAATTGAGGAGATTCGGGAAAGCTTGACAGAAAATGAAGAACTTTTTGCAAAATTCACTTTAATTCTAGAACAAAAATTCATCGAATTTATTCAAAACTTACCAAAAGCTGACGTGGACGTGACGAAATCTGACAAACGGAAGCATTTACAGTTGATATTATTAATTGGTGAATATTACAATATGGGATTTATGAAAAATCAGACATTTATAGCATGTCTTGAGAAACTTTTAAATGACATTGGAACCGATCATCAAATTACACTTTTTCATCAATTAATTAAAATATCCTTTGATAAAATTATTCAAAATGGCATCACGAATGTGATTAAGACCTTTATGGACATGCTGGCTAAAAAACTTCCAACAATTGTCGATGCAAACGATCGAAACTTAGCAGCATGGGAACTTTATGTAACAATGAAAATTTTAATTTATCGTCAACAAAAGGCACAGATGCAATGTCCAGTGACTTACTTTAAACTGTTTATATCAAATTTAAATGAAGAGTCGATTGTGATGAAGCTGGAGGAACTAAAATATCGTTATTGCTATAAAAAAGAACAAATTGCTGAAATTGTTGAATTTTTTCTATTGACTGCCATTTCAAGCTTCCAAACAGCCATCTATGTCAAGTTAGCTAACGAACTACATGCAATTAAGTCAGCGACTGACGATAGCTATACATTTCAGAAGCATATGGAATTTAAGTTACATGACGTAATCAAAAATATCCTTAATGACATCGAGAATGAAACGAAAATGATTAAATTATTTAATATGACGTCATTTGTCGGCGACTTGTTTGTTGGCAATGTCGCATCAATTTATCTTGTTTTATGTATTTTGGAGATGTTGTTGGAGAAGGAAGTTGAAAGTAAAAAGATTGTGGACTGTATTAAAATTTTACTACAAAAAGTTGGATATAAAATTGACCTGGACAGTGTCTTGATCCTCGACAAGTTCTTTCTGTTCTTTAAGGAAGTCATTAAGTGCGATAAAGGATATCGTCGGGTTGTTTTTAAAGAATTGATTGATCTGCGAATGAATAAATGGAATCGAATGGAAAACGAAAGAAATTTGGAAGTTATTGAAGAGCTTTTTGGGAAATTGACGCACGCAAACTTCATACAAGTTTCATTCTTTATTTGCGGGATACTGTCTAAAAATTTTGAGCTTATTGAATTGTTTGTAAAATTAATTTGGAAACTTATTTTAAATAATCCGGAATCGGTGCTGTTATATGCTAAATTGTCGAGTGCAATTTCGAATTATAATGAGGCATTTCGGAGTAATTTGATGTTATTTATGAAGCACAGAAATGAAACTTTTAAAACTATTTGTTGTGAGCCGATCGTACCAGGTGAAGCGAAATTAAAGCTATCGTCTGTTATGATGTTTATGTCGTACCTTTATGCATTTGATTTTTGTGAGGATGATGATATTGGACTATGGATACATCCGTCGTTTACCAAGCAATTGACGATGGGACAGTGCAATGAGATTAGTCATATTTTAGGGACGAAAATTAACGAATCGAAGAATAATGAGTTGTTGAGAGCTTTTGTGGCACTGATGGAGTTCCATTCGCGTGAGAATTTATTTGCTGTCATCAAGAGTGTCAAGAATGAGCTTTCGGATTTGGTAAATTTGACGTATTAAATATTTTTTGTGCCTTGCATTTTCCTCGCAAGAGGAATTTTAGTCAAAGACTATTTCAAGTTTGAATATTTCAACGTATTTTTGAAACTCAAATTTTACAACGACTTTTTGAAATTTGAAATTTTCAACTAATTTTTGAAATTTTTTTCAACGACTTTTTTAAAATTTTCTTGTTTTAACAAATTTTTTCTTTGATTCATCCACAGCCTAAATCCATTTCCTTTTTTTCCAAGTCAAACTCAAGAAAATTGTAATTAAAAATTAATTCTCAAATCATGGAAATGCTTGTGATTTTATGTGCCTTAAATACTTAAAACAAATTTACAAGAACAAGAAAGTATATTTACTGTTTTTTACTGTTGAACAACTTCATGGAAGAAGCATTGATGATTTTTGAAATAAAAATGTTAAATTATATTAAAAAAAACATGTGTTGGATGTTATCGGTTATTGCACAATTTTAAACTTTTCTGATATTGTTCTTATCAGTTCTTGATTGATTAGATAAAGTTTAATTTTTGGGTGTTTTTGAGTTGTCAAGATAAAGAATTGGGAGGATTCTGGAATTTAAAAGCTAGGAATGACGATTTTGGTTATCAGTGCTGCAATAGGATGTCGTCATCAATAACATAATACAAAAATATTTCAGGGCGTGGGTTACAAAAAATCCAGCACATGCTGTCCGTCTAGACTAAGTAAGAAATATTTGTCACCCAACTACCTACAAAGTGCGACAATAAAATCAAATGAGCCGTGCATAAACATTGAACAAGAAGGAAATATGAACGAGCTGCATTCAGAAAGGAACCGATAATAAAATTGAGATGTTTACAAAAGTTCTTCTTTTGTGGATGCGACACATGAGAGATGCGATTCCAAAATACTTTAAAAATAAAAATTCATAGTAGGGGCCGTTTACTTATTACGTTACGCAAAAAAACGACTTTTTTCACCCCCCTCCCCCCCTTGTTACAATATGTTACAACTCACAACACCCCCCCCCCCCCCCCCCCCCCCCCTGAACGTTCATAATTTATTTTATTTTGATAATTTTATTCTAAAAAGACGGTTAAATTTATTTTGTATTTTTTTTCTTAAACATCAAAATACTGTACAGCTAAATAGGTCATGTTTCGATTGATACTATTAGTATTCTCATGAATTATTGGATTAAGATATAAAGCAAAACTTTGTTTTTTTTTTTGAAGAAAATTCAAAAATGTCATGAAAAATATTATGCCCGATCGAATTTTGGAAAATTCAATCAACTTTGAATGTAAATATTACAATGATGGGATCATATTAATCATCATATGAATGACAGATTTAGAGAGATTTATTTTTAAACTTATGGTTGATTTAATTTTGAAAATTTCCACAAATTATGATTGTATTTTAAAGTCTTGTAGACCAGTTTTCTATTGATTTGTTACAAAAACAATGTATTGCTTAGCTATCAAAAGAGATCTGGACATTTGTAAATCATTAAAAAGGTGAAAAATTTCAGAGTTGCGAAACAGGTCACCTGTGACAGGTGAAAACCTTTCAATTCCTTGATAATTTGTATGGTTTTGTTAGAAAAACCTTATAAATTATCAAGGAATTGTAGGGTTCTCACCTGTCACAGGTGCCTGTTTCGCAGCTCTGAAAAATTTAAAAAAATGTTTTTGGTGTGAATTTGTAAACAAATTTTTTTCGTGAAGTTTTTTTTTAAAAGACAGACGACAGTTTGAACGTTACATACTTCTTGACACCCCCCCCCCCCCCTTTGTTACATTTGGTTACAATTTTTCAAACCCCCCCCCCCCCCCCTAAAATGCGAACGTAATAAGTGAACAGCCCCGTAGGAACAGATTGTGTAAATACTGAGCGATAAAGATCAATGACAACAACAATAAACTGAAATAATAAACTTATCGAAAAACAAAACAATCTTTTCACAAATGTTAAGAGAGGCTGAGTGAATGTTTAAGCTAACGGTTTTGAAAAATTTGATTTTCAGAATACTAGGAATTTTAATAACGAACAAAAATTATTTGAATTTGAATTGACAAAAACTTTTGTGAGGTTTTCGGTCGTTAAATGAAATGAAAGGAAAATTGGAACTTACTTGAATATTTTTGGTATATTAGAGGCTGTTTATAAATGATGTTTATCAAACGGGGGGGGGGGGGGGGGGGGGGGGGGGGGGGTGAGGGGGTTGAAGCAAAAAAGAACAATATAAAATTTCCGAATCCATTGTTTTGATTTGAAAAATGACCGCCGTTAATTTAGGACGTTATAAGTGACCGATCCCTAAGCGAGAATTGATTAAATGTAGGGAGGGGTGTAGGAATGTCTGAAAAATCTCATTTTTATTGTAAATAATGAGTTAAAGGACCGCTTATATAACAGAATCGGGTCAACAAATCAATATGATGGACACAATTTTAAGACATACCTTTTGTTTTGCTAAATTAAACAACTTCCTTAAAAATCAGTAATTACTTGAATAAATTTGGCGCCAAAATTGTTTTTCTTCATTTTCTCGCACTTCTTTTAATTTTTCTTGTGTATTAAATTTTATGTAGGAATGATTTGACAATGACGTCCTGAAGCTGTTTGGAGGGTTTATGAGCTGATGTCAAAAACTTGATAATTGCAATTGAGATTTTGTTATAGAAGAAAGAAGGTTGTGCTGAACAATATCCAGACGTTATTTATAAACAACCCCTAAAGATTCAAGCTGAAAGACATCGGCGAACTATTAATTCACAATATTCTTTGTCTTCCTTTTCCTGCCTAATTAATCACAGACGCAATAAAATTTTTGCCCATTCCTCTGAAATTCATCAAGAGAGAGCAAATAAGAGGAAAGGAAGCAGTCATAATAAAAGCAAAAAATATCCTTTTTGTTGCTGCTTAAGTTTCTGTGATTTTCTCTCCTTTTTTATTTACACCGTACGTCCAGTTGATTTGATTTATTGATATCGCAAGAGGTCGCTTAATATTTCATTTTTACTGTCGATCGGAGAATGAAAGGAAAGTCGAGAAAAATCCAAGGGGACAATTACTTTGTGGGAAATTGATGATTTTTTTTTGGAATTTTAGCTTTTCCAAGTTTTTGTGAAAATGCTGTTTTCTTCCATTTAGGGATCGTTCATAAATGACGCCCAAAAATAACGATTTTTTTTCAAAAACAAACAATTGAAAATTCTGTCGTTTTAGAGCTTTTCGACACTCCTTCTTTGTGACGCCATTTTTGAACAACCCCATTCCCATGGAGTGATTTTCCCCTTAAAAAAAAATCCTTGTTATTTTCCGTTGTTAAACTCACCACGAGACAATTCTTTGTCGCAAGTAGTATTTAACTTATAAGTTACATTGTATGATGAATCAATTCATGTCCATGTCCATAGTACACATGAAGAGACAACATGAAAAGTCATTAAAGCAATTTATAAATGAAGTCGCTGTTATGTGTGACAAATGAAGCCTGAGGGGAGGAATGAGAAATTGTTTTGCAACATGTTTGTGTGCACCTCCTTCGATCGCTTGCCACACTTTTTTTTTTGCTTTCTTGTTGACTCATGCGGACGAAATATGTAATTCTGTTGTTTGGGTTTTAAAGGAACAGCACATAAATATTTATTTTATATATTTTATGACACAAAATCTTTGGAAAACTCAATAACGAGAAATGAAACCCTCAGATTAGGATAAGGAGAAGGTATATCCATATATTTTTTTGTGTGTCGACTAATGACAATATAATATGACAAAAATAGGTGTCTTATTTACTCGTGCTTAGAATAATATGAAGAAATGGATCTCAAACTTATAATTTATTGATGAAATTAATCAAAAAAAAAAGTTTCTATCCATAAATCCTAATAATTATTATCAGGTTCTCGTATGTCTATTTATTTGAATAGTAAGAGGTTATTTAAAGTGAAATTTGGGATGAATTAGAGCATGTTGACTGGCAAAAGAGCAAAAAAACATGATCGGCCTGTTTCACTAAAGTGGATTATCCTCGATTTAAGATTATCCACTTCAGTTTTTTGGAAATATCTCCAGACGCTTAAGGTTATTAAGAGATCTTATGTGTGATCTAGTTAGAGTATTTTGCTACTTAAATTAACATAAACTTAGAATTTTTATATCTTCACTAGTTTGAGAATTATAGCAAAGATCCAAGATAATCTACTAGATTTGGCTAGAAAATTGAATAATGAATACTTCTTAACGAAAAGTAAAAGTTTAAAGTATACAGAAATTTCAGGCATACTTCACTCTATTATAATCCAAAATTATAAATACCACACCTCCCATAAAGTTTAAGATATTTGCAAAAAACTGAAGTGGATAATCCGAAATCGAGGATAATCCACTTTAGTGAAACAGACCGGATAAGTTTACTAAATAATTTCTGAATTTACTAAAGTTATGGGATTTGAACCCTTGGGATTTATGAAGGTATTCTCATCAAAATCTTGAGTTTTCGATTTTCTTGATGAGTTATTTAAGTTTGAATAGTTTTGGCATTTAAACATTCATATTATTAAAATCAGGGGGTGTACCCAGAAGTTTTTTGATTGGTGGAGGTTTCAATGTGGGGGTTTTGTATGTACGGTGATATGGATGAACGATATTTTTCCAAATAGGAAGGGAGGGGACGGGGGTTGTTGACCCCCAAAACATTCTGTGGTAACGCCAATGGTACAATCTTTTGGAAACAAATTTAGTGCCTAGGTCAGTGATTCTCAAACTATGTGTTATATTAATCTATTCCAAATCAATAGTTTAAGCCCGTTTAAGCTAGAGCTCGAAGTCGATGAAATTTTGTACGAAGTCAAGTCAAGAGTCGACTTTGCCACACAAAATCGATGAAAATATCTCGAGTTGTCTTGGAGTTCTGGTTTAAGCCTTTTTGTACGCAACTTGCCCTCTTGCAATATAATTTTCTTGAAATTTTTCATAGCTAAAGAACATTTCAGCAGAAAAAAAGTTGACTTCATGCTTATTTGCATTATAAATTCGAAAAATGCGCTTCCATTGCCTTAATTTCATTAAAATATTCATTCAACCGTAATAAATACACAAATATAAAAAAGAAGAGAAAGAAAAAATTAGAAGATGATAATCTCTTCCCAGAACATTAGTTGGGATCATCATTAAATAGTTATTTTTTTTTTCTTCTCTATCCACTCAGTCCATTCATACACAATTCATTGAAAATGATGATGATATCCATCCCACTTTGCTCTCCATC